CCCCAAAACCCCAAAACCCCAAAACCCCAAAACCCCTCACCATATAAAAATCCTGAAAAAAATATTCTAAAAATGAGTACTTCCAAAGAAGACCACAAATCAAAATTCGAGGCAAGTATCTCTTCAACCCCTTCCGAAAGCCTCGAACCCCAACTCCTCGACACCCACACCTTAGCCTTCATAAACCGAACAAACAGCAAGTACCTCACCCCCGATTTCCTCAAACAAAAAGAACGAATCCTCAACAAAATCCCTCCAAACAAAGAAATTGCCGAATACCACGGCCTTGTCTCCAGAGTCTTCCTCACAGCCGAAGACACTGCCAAGCTGCGTGAAACTCAGTCTTTACTACGTACAAAGACTGAGTCCATTGTGCTCCCTGATGGCAAGGAATGCCCTTGCTGCAAGCACAAGTTAATAAAAGATGTCAAAGAGTTGCAAAGATTCTCATTTTGGACATCTGCTGAGACCTTCAGGATCTTTGGAACTGGGGTCCCTATGTACTTCTACTTTATGATATTTCTTATTATCCTGCTCTTCTTAATCTCTATGATAGTTTCCATACCAACAATTACACTCAACATCATTGAAGACAATAAAGATGAGCTTGGTGTGCGCTCTCCTTCCTTCTTGGTGTACACCTCCATTGGTAACCATGGAATAACCTCTTCCGGTTTCAACAAATCGTCTTCAATAAACACCATAATAATCCTCAACATGATCGGTACCTTCATAATCTTCCTCGGGTACCGCATCTACAGATGCATGAGTCTGAGGTTCGCCTCTCGAATAGACGAAGAGACCATCACTCCTAGCGACTTCACCGTATTCGCAACTAATATCGACAGGGACACCACCAAAGAAGATATCATCCAGTATTTACAGAGAGAGCACCAAGCAGAAGGGATTAATAATGTGATCTTGTGCTATGATATTGAGAAACCAGTCAAAATACTGAGGAAGAAGTTTAGAAAGAGGAGAGCTGAACAAATGAAGATTCAAACTTTGAAAGCAAATTATAAGAGAATGCACAAAGAAAGACTGATAGAAGAAGGAAAAGAAATCAAAGATAGTGAAAATTTGTCAAATGATGACGACTCCTTGAATACAATTGACGTTCAAGTTGTTGAAAATGCAAATACCTAAAAGGTTCCTCTGCTTAAGATGTAGGAAGAAAACACTAAAACATAGAGAAGAAACTATTGACAAACTTAACAAAGAAATCAAGCAATATGAACAAATGTATAAAGCTAATGAGAAGAAGAACAATAAGTTTTGTGGAAAAGCTTTTGTTATCTTTAATAACCAAAATGTAGCCACCAAGATTAATGACAAGTTGCATGTTAACTCTACTAAGAGAGTTATTAAATATATTTGGAAGAAAATCATCCTTTGCAGGGCAAGGAGAGAGGATAAGCCTTTTACTTTTAAAACTCAGAAAGCCGGTGAGCCTACTGATATCTTCTGGGAAAACTTACCAATTACTACAGCAACGAGGTTTAAAAGATCCATGGTATCGTTCTTATTGATGGGATGTCTCCTTGTCTTTTCCTTCTGATGTAATTTGATATTTGGGCTCTTTAAGGATAGCCTTGAGAGACAATATGAAGATAATGGAGAGAACTTTAAAATTCATCATTCTCTTATCCTAATGTTCTATAATATTCTCAATGCAATGGTGATTAGTTTCTTTAACATAAGTCTCAAGGGTTTGGCCAAAATTCTAACTGAATATGAGAGGCATGATTCATACACTCCTTACACCTTGTCCTTAGCGGCGAAGATGATTCTGGCAATGTATATTAACACAGCTATTATTCCTCTTTGAGTGAACCATAATGAAAAATATTGGTTTTCAAGCACCGGGTTAATTTCAGATATCTTCTACAATACTCTTTCGATATGCTTTGTCGGACCTATACTCTATTTTTATGACCCAACCCACTTGCTAAAGGTATGTAAACGAAAGAGGGAAGTTAAAAAGGGTGATAAATCTACTTTAACACAGAGGGAGCTTAACGAGCTCTATGAAGGACAAGAAATAAGTCTTGAGAACCGATATACTTCAGCATTTTTGATCATCCTGGTATGTTCGACCTACACTGTCTTACTACCAATTCTTCCGATAATCTGTTTCTTTGGATTTTGATACCAATATTGTCTGGTGAAATACATGTTGGTGAATCATAACACTCGTCCTAGAGAAGTTAGCCATTTTATAGATTTTAGTGCCACAAATATCTTTGTTCTAATCCTTCTGGTCAACGGAGGAAGTATTTGGTACTTCTTAACCAGACTATCAGATGCACAAAATTTCATTGCTTGGCTCCCATTGCTCCTCGCTGGAGGCTTAGTTTTGCTCCCAATCAGTTATGCTGAGAAGGTGTTTAAGATAAACGAAGTTAGAAAGAGTGATGAGGACACTTATGAGTCGACCATTATGAAGCATCACTTCAATTATCAATCAAGCAATCCTATTGGAAAAGATGGCAAGATCAGCTTCAAAAGACTTTCATCTTACGCAGTCCAAGATAAATTTAAGCAAAAGGATATCATCTGGGGAAATTTGGAGAAAGATATTATGAATTACCCTGGGCTAAAGAAACTTATTTCAACAGACGCTAATCCACTTGGAATGCAAGATTTCTCTCCACTTCCTCCTCGACCCTTGATGGAAAGGAAATCGATGAGATCAAGTAATGTTCCTATATTAATAATTTAGAGATGTCAATTTGACAAAGCGATAGTGATGAATCTGAAGATGAAAGGTAAAAATAGTTGCTCATCAATAGGAAATACAAGACAACTAAGAATATATTAAATTCCATTTATCGGGACAATAAGAAAAATGAGAGAAATCGATCAGGTAAGATCTCAGCTTCCAGTTTTTGATCTTTCAGAATTCTACCATTGTATATAAAAGTATTTTAAAATAACAATTAGACGAATTGGTGAAATTGGTGATCCATTTAAAAATTCTAAAAATTATGATTCTTCCAAATACCAAAAGCTTCTAAAACCTTATCAATAATTCTGATTTCTTTCACCGTTACCTTGGGTTATTAACCCTAATGGCGTTTTGCCTCTTTAAAATTTGTAGTTAAAACCTAAAAATTGTCCAGCTTCTAAATTAATATTTTGGTGAAGCCGTTCATTCAAACTGTCGTGCATTTCTTCGCGGCTCCCATACAATTGAAGCACTATATTTTGCACAATTCTAAACGAGCATAACTTGGATTGGCAATTCATATCTTAAATTAAGTGTCAATTTAGCACAAAGTTTCTTTCAATTCCTTAAATATTGGTGATAAATTTTTATAGACACCTTGAAGGACAAATTGACGAAAATTGTTGAACAAAGTGAGGACTGCCCAGAAAGTGAAGATGAAAATAATCTACAAGCTATTGGAATTAATTTGAAGAAACAGAAGAGTTCAACAGAGACAGCGACTTTTAGGAATGATGAAGAGTCAGACAAAAGCCCTTCTAGAGTAAGGAGTAAGAAAACTGTCTCAGAAGTTGAAGAGAGCAAGGAAATGGAAAGCAGCTCTTCACCCAGTGGTAGCTATAGCGGAGAGGGAGAAAGCGAGGAGAGTGAAAGTCATGATAATAGTGAAAGTCACGAGAATAGTAGCAGTCATGATAATAGTGAAAGTCATGAGAATAGTGAAAATCATTAGAATAGTGAAAATCGTAAACAAAGCGAAGGCTATCGACTTCATACTCATTTTCGATATTAATGAGTTTATTTCAATATACTCCAACCAGAGCGGGGTTTTGGGGTTTTGGGGTTTTGGGGTTTTGGGGTTTTGGGGTTTTGGGGTTTTGGGG